AGTCCCAATTTGTAAGATACATTTACTATTCACTTGGTCAACATAAATCACTCTTAACCTTTTAATTAATATATCAAAAGTTTATGAAATTTGAATTATTTTTTGCAGGATTTGTAGTAGGTTTAATGTAGTTTCTGAATATGTAATATTCATTTTCTAAAACTAATTTGAGTGTTGAGAGGGATCAATTTGCTTTATCGTCAATCAAACATCGTAAACCATAAAGTATCTTACAATTTGGGACGGAGAGAGTAGTAAATAATTCCCAAAATACTACTGGGTTAAGAATAATTCCGGAAAATACTACCGAGTTAACCATTATTAAGCAAAGCCGCCACTTCAAGTGGCGGCTTTTCACTTACTTTACAAAAGCCGCCACTCCAAGTGGCGGCTCTCCTCTTGTAGCACAAAAGCCGCCACTTCAAGTGGCGTCTCATTAATTCTCAAAATAACCCCCTTTCTTCCCAGCTGACGAACGACGCAACAGAAGAACAACACCTCCTTTGCAACTGCTGCAACAGACGGAAGCGACACCAGTTCGAGCACCGGTCGAATCTCGTCCAAATGAAGCTCAAATCAAAGGGAAAAGAGACACGGTGTAACCAATGTCATTTGTGCTCCATTATACCGACTTTCAACCGTTTGAATCGAGGTATTTTACCGTTTTTGCTAAACCTTGGTTTTTTAAAAAAAAATTGTTCGAAATTGTTTTTTTTTTTGGATAATTTTGTTTGTATTTGATGTTATGAAATATATAAATTGTTAATGTTGTTATTATGCTTGAACTTATTTAATTTGTAGAATTTGAATTTGTCATTGTGATGGTTGGATTGAGTTTGATATATGGCTTGTTTGAGAAAGAATAAAGTAGCACATTATTAATATGATTTTTTTAATTGAATTTGAAATTGCTAGTCTCTGGCAAGGTTTTGAAATGCGAAATCGGGCCTCAAGGTGTTAGGGGGTAGCCTTCCGGGGCGCAAGCCTCGAGGCATCACGGGGCGTAAGCCCCAAAATTCAATTGCTTAAGTGTTGCTACACACCTATGACATATTAGAAAGTATAGACAATTGATAACAATAATATCATTTTCATTTACCTCAGTGCCGCAAAGGTTCCCACCTACGGTGGGGTTATTCATAACAATAACATAGCTAAACAAAATCACAAGTAAAAAGAACATAACTATGAAATATTAAAGTCAAAAAATATAAAACTAAAATACCAAAGTCAAAACTCAAAAGAACATAAAACATTAAAATTGTAAGACAAGAACATAAAAGCTTAGGAATTTAAGTTTGCAAATTGACAAATCCAACTATTAATCTTCAAAACTAAGTCTATCGCCCACTTCATCAGTATCCAAATTAGTAATGTCATTCTCATTGTCATCTCATTCATTATCACGGGCCTCATTATCTTCTTCAGTTCCAACCGTAAGGTCCACCCCTACACACATAAAGTCACAAAAACAGAATGAAACTGGATGGAAGTTAAGTGTAAATAATTATATTGAAGTGACAAAAAAATTTAAATATTAAGTTATGAACTTCTGAATTCGTTGTCCATTTCATCAACTAATGCAAGTTCATCACGTGCATCCGCACTTTCTCTATCATCTGCATTCGGTTCATCAATCCACTCATCATCAGATGATACATTTTCGAAGATCAAATTATCCTCTCTTTTTTTTGTAATTGGCTCTTCCTAAACTTCAACTTCTTGTTGAACATTATAAATACCAAACTATTCAACTTAATGGTTGAAAGACGATTCCTTCTCTTCGTATGGACTTGATTGAATGTGCTTCAATTTCGTTCACAAGCTGAGGAAGAACATGTCAAGCCAAGAATTTTGACCACAAAAGCCCGTAGTTTGATCTCCAAATTGATCCCGCCATTCCACTAAGAGAAAGTTAAAGAATCATAAAATGCAATTTTACAACAATACTACTTTAGTAGGTAAGGAATGTTGTTTCTTTAATAAAAAAGTAGGTAGGGAAGGTTGTTATTAATGCATTATGCAAACGGTAGTTTTCAGTTTTAAGTAGGTAATGCATCAATACTGTAAATCTGTAGTAGAAAAAAAACATTTTTAGTAGTTAGTTTAGTTACTAAGCGCAGTTTCCAGTTTAAGACTTGAGTAAAATAAAAAAAAAAACTGCAGCTTTCAATTTGAGTTTAGATCTTAAAATTTAAAAACACAAGTACACTATGTATAAAAATCAAAGATATTAAAGATAAAGTTTAATGTTTACTTGGGGGACGTGTTTTGTATGAATTTTGAGTTGCCCTCATTCTGAAAAGTCCACGCTTGTATCGATATTCATCCATTTGTGCATCAACTTTGTTAAAATCACTTCTATCAGAAATAAGTTTCTTCATACAAGTGTACAAACCTTTCTCAACCTCCACATGAGTAGAGAAGTCATCCTCCCATTTGAATCTAGGATTCAAATAATACGTTGCAGCATGCAAGTCCCGATGTAGTTGGTGCTCCCACTTCTCATCAATTGTCTTCCAAATCTCACTATAAGTGGAATATTGATTTCCAAAATTCTCTTCAATTTTTTCTTTTACCAAATCCATAACACCGTAGATGAATCTCATTGCTGACTCATCACTATCAACAATCCTCAACACTTCAACCATGGCCTTGTTATTTTTATTGAGTAAGCAACCCCAGACCAAAAAACTCTGTCATCCATCTCACTCTTTTTAACCTCCTTCCCCTCAACTAAATTTGCATAATGACTCGAAGTCCATTGTTTAGAAACAAACATTCTTTGCAGGGGGTCTTTTATGGTGCCCATGCAATCTAAAGTCAAGAATGCATTCGCAACCCTCGTGGGGCCTGGACAAAATAGGTCTTTCCCGATATACTTCCTCATAAGCTGCAAAACCCATTCACGATTATAGATAAAATTAGTGACCTTCTTAGTTTTGATCGACACATTTTTATTCCGTGTCAACTCTCCAATCTTCTCAAGCATGAGCTCAATACAATGGTCAACACATGGCGTCCAATACAAGTGCTTCCTCTTCTCCATTAAAAGTCTCCCAACAGCTTTATATGCACTTGCATTATCTGTCATGATTTGCACTACCAGACTTTCTCCTATTTCCCCAACTACTCCGTCGAGCAATTCAAAAAGATAAGTTGCATCTTTAACTCGATCCGATGAATCAACATATATGAGGAAAACATTACCATGTTGGTTGTTAACAAGTATGTCAAGGAATTTGTAGAAAAGCAAGTTATTCCCAAAATTTTAGACGGGCTTCTCCAAAACTTTGGGTCTTTCTTGTAAAATGAATTTGTAGAAAAGCAAGTTATTCCCTCAATCTCAACTTAAGGTACTCACATTCCTTTTATAGATATCTCAGCCAATAGTTCTCATTTATATTTTAGAACATAATTAACACTTTTAAATGAAAAATTAAATATCAAATATAAAAAATAATACATGTATAAAAACACAGTTATCATCAATGACCTCATTATATTGTATATCCATAAAAATTCTTTCTCAAAAATTTAGTCGAATTATCTTATTTAATTATTATCAAAATAATCGTACTATTTATCCATGAAAACCTTAAATTGGGACGGTGATAGTAAGTAACATCCAACATTCTAAAACATAAAATAATTTAGACAATATTAAATACTGTGTATATCATAATAAGAGGATACAATTGAAATTTTGAAGTGTGCACATGAATGTGAAAATAAAAAAGTTATTGAAGAGACATTGTCCACCACACAATTTTTAAGAAGAGAATTAAAAGAAAATGTCACTGTCACCTAGGGGTGGGAAAATATACCGAAATTTCGGTATACCGGCCATACCATACCGAAAAATACCGAATTTACCTGAATTTTCGGTATACCGAAAAGTTCGGTATGGTATGATACCATACCGGGTCACTTCGGTACGGTAAAGGTAATGATTTTTTAAATTTTCGGTATTTCGATATATACCGAAATACCGTTAATTTTCGGCATGGTACGGTATATACCAAAATACCGATATACCGAAATAGAATTTGTAAATTTTTAGGGCCAAACCCATTAAATGAAATTATTAAAATATCAAGGCCCAAAATTAAAATAACCCATCTTATAATACTACGGCCCTTCTCTAGTTCTCCCAAGTAGAGGCCTAAATCCCTAATCAAATAAATGGGAGAATTTGAGTTTGCACCTCATGTTTTGGGTGATATTTGTCTTTGCACCCCATTTTTAAAATCATTAATGTATGCACCCCATTAGCCCAAAAATTGTGAAGGAGTGGGGTGCAAAGTCAAATAATTTTATAGTGAATTGGGGTGCATACATTAATGATTTTGAAAATAGGGTGCAAACTCAAATATCACCCAAAACATGGGGTGCAAAGTCAAATTCTTCCCAAATAAATCAACGTAGAGTCAAGCAGCTTCTCTTCTCTTCAACTAGTGACATAGCTGTGGACTATTGAGCATTGACGATGGAGATGCGGACGAGTGACGAAGACGCCATTGACGAAGCACGGAGTAGCGGACGACCATCATATTACCAAAGTAGAAAAATCTCTTATTTATACGGAGCTGCAACAATGATTCAAAGATTTGTTATTACAAACATTAGTTATCATTGATTTATGTTGAATAAATATTCTAATTTTCATTATGGATTGTGTTGAGACTTGAGATATTAGCACATAATTTTAATATTTTCTACTTTGCATTAAATATTGTGTTTTAGTTTTGGTATCGGTTCATGTATTGATGTCGTATGCTACTTTTGACTTGTTAAAATCAGTTTTTTTGGATGTTCGGTAGGCCTCTTAAGCTAATACTTTATACGAAATTGCCAAGATTTTTTTTTTTGAATTTTCGGTATAAAACGGTATGGTTACATACCGTACCGAATTTTCGGTATACCGAAATTCGGTATACCGAAAGTTTCGGTATGGTAACGGTATGACATTTACTAATACCGGATTTTCGGTACGATATGCGGTATGACGTTGAAATTTCGGTATACCGTACCGAACCAACCCTACTACCACCTTTTATTCTATTACAATGTTATGGAAATTGCAAAAGAGAAAATAAAGGAGGTCATAAGATGTTTTTACTTGGACTGTAATTTGATGGTCTGGTCTGATCTGGTCTGGTCTGGTCTGCACTGGTCTGATCTGGTCTAGTCTGGTCTAGTTTCTTTTTATTAAAAACATCCCAGGCTTTGGGTGCGCCGATCCATTCCCTGCTCTAGACACATTTACTTCAGCCACGAAGTCCGCGTTCAACTTGTTCAAGACATAGACTAGTCAAGGAAGCATAAGGAAGATATATCAAGCTTCGCTTCATTAGCAGGTATGCAAATTGATCATTTCATAGTTTCCACACTGAATTGCCAATCCAAATTATACTCTTTGAAGGGAAATAGGCAAGAGAGATACAGAGTATGAAGATTTCTGAATATTATTGCTATTCGTGATAATATTTTCTGTAACAACGTACAGTGTTTGTATGTTTCTTTATCGTTGGGTATAATAGAAAGGGTACTCATTATATGAGATTTGTTAAATCTGCCAATCAAGTAAAGCTTTACGTTCGTCTTGATGTATTTATTATATGATGACCCCCTGGTTTGCTTTTATTTGGATGTGGATTGTGGAGTGGCCTTGATTCTGTAATCGTGTATTGAGCTTATAGTTTTTTTCTTTCTGGTTTGGGTTTTATTTTTACAGTTCAAATAATGGCACGAAAGATGTTAGTTGATGGAGAGATTAAGAATCCTGTTGAGGAAGAAGCTCACTATGATTTTGATCTATTTGTGATTGGGGCAGGGAGCGGCGGCGTTCGTGCTTCCCGATTTTCTGCTCAATATGGAGCAAAGGTATATAGTAAAGATGTGATGAGATTGTTTACTGTAAGGACTGTTACATGATATTGTTGTAAAAGTATAGTTATCCTTTTGAAGAAAAATGGCGCATGTTCTCTTTTTTTATGGTGAAATGGTTTTCCTACACTAGAAGTATAGTATTCTAGTTAGTAGAGTACTGTGTACACTTTGCTTCTTTGACAAAATTGAATTCTGTAGTTGCATCATTTATGAGATCATCAATGATGTAGACACTTAGTTGTCAGTACCACAAATTTTAAATCACGGAGAAAAAGTTTGACTCCCGAAGTCCCCACTCCTTTGTATTTGTTGCTGTATTGTGCAATCAATTTCCGTAGCTTGAAAACTTATGCCGTTTTGGTTACTGGGTGAAACGGAACTGTTATTCATGTTTGTGTACTCTAATTTTTGTTTTACTTAATAGTTTTAGTGATGTATCATTATGGGTGTATGCTATCACAAATGTAGCATGCACCAGCATTTATCAGTTCATGTGAATGGTGCTAATTGAAATTTTGAAAACCAAAATGAGAATGTTTACACATGAGGAGATGCTAGTTTTTCTGATAGTGTTCTTGCATGCATGTTAGAAAGGACTGTTGGTATCTTTGTTTTGATACAAGAGGAAGGTTAATAGATAGTACTGGGAAAGGGAAATGCCTTCCTTTCCTGTAAGCACACTTGTTTTATTTACATGTCACACTTCGAAATCTATCTTGACTTTCACTCAATATCCTTTTAAATGAAAATTGAAGGTTGGAATCTGTGAGCTTCCGTTTCATCCTGTCAGCTCTGAAGTCAGTGGAGGAGTTGGTGGAACGTAAGTCTCTCAAGCTGTATATTCTATAGATCCGTGTGGCCTCTACCACATATTTGGGACTCACGTGTGCTATTCTATAAAAGCAGTAGACACCAATGTAGAAACCTGTTTAGGTACAGTTCTGAAATGAAGTATCTTTGATGAAGAATAAGAGTTCCTAAGTAACTTCATTACCAGTGTGTGTTTATTTGGTTAAAGGATGGCTGATTTCTAAAAGTGTATTCTGTATTTTCTTAATAGTACATTAGGAAGTTACAAATCTTTAGATGTTCTCAACGCTACATGGTAAATATATTTGCAAATATTTTTTAGAGTTTAACTGAAGCTACAAGACTTGTAACAGTTCAATGATCTCTATTCTCTAATGTCTTAGGTGTGTGATCCGTGGGTGTGTGCCTAAAAAAATTTTGGTTTATGGAGCTTCTTTTGGGCCTGAACTTGAGGTAAGACGTGAATCTTTATAATAGCAATCTGACGGGACTTGTTACAGTTTCATGTGATTTGCTACAACCGGGCTATAAGATGTGGAGATTATTGTTTTGGATATTTCTTATGAAAGGGACTGCTAAGAAATCAATTTATTTCTTAGGTTAGAATATGTACTTATTTGGAATGTTGAAAGGTAGAAGATTAAATAACTTAAATGTGAAGTGAATCTTTTGTCCTTTTGGATTTTTTTGTTATTTGTTTTTTTATAGTTCTTTCGGTTGTGGCTAAAAGATATATCAAGTATCTTTTGCAGCTACCCCTCTTGGTTGTTATACTCCTGTTTGTGCTTCCTGGTTCTTTTTTTGTTGACTTACCCTAGAGCTGACATATCATAAAAGCATCTTAAATGAGTTCGCTAATAAAGTACTCATGAAAGCACTATGGTTTGGATTCATAGGATGCGAGGAATTATGGATGGGAGGTGAATGAGAGGCTTAATTTGAATTGGAAGAAACTTCTGCATAAAAAGGTTAGTTAAAATTCATGTGTACCCCATTGCTTGATAAAGGATAATAAGTGTATAACGTCTGCAGGTATCTCATTTAAACATAAGGTTTGCATTTTGTTTGTATTAGAAAGTTAGGTATACTAATGGGCATGCAAAAAATGTTTCCATCTGGTATGATTTTACTTTTGTTAAATGGTTTCTATGTAATGCATAGTCTCTCATATTGAGAATCAAACTATGGAAACCATGAACAAGTAGTTAAGGAGAGAGACCTATTCTGATTTGTTTTTAATGTGCTCGTGCGCAGACTGAGGAAATCGTTAGATTAAATGGAATATACAAGCGCCTTCTTTCCAGCGCAGGAGTCAAACTCTTTGAAGGAGAGGGAAGGATAATTGGTCGAAATGAGGTTGAGGTAATACAACTGGATGGGACTAAAATTAGCTATTCCGCAAAGCACATTCTCATTGCAACAGGCAGTAAGGCTCAGCGTCCAGCAATCACAGGGCAGGTATACTTATTTTCCCTCCATCATGGTATTCTAATGAGTTAATACTTGAACTGGTTATCTAGATTTGATGGAGTTGACCTGTCAACAACTCTACCATATAATCCATTTTTTACATTTTACAAGTCTCTTCCTTTTCAGTTTGTCCCACAGTTATGTCCACTTACCTTTCTTCAACAACGCTAAATGTTTACCTTTTCCAACTTACCCTTTTTATGATTTGGCATGTTGAGCTGGTTACACATTTTTAAGGTTACCCACCTAAGCGTAAAATGAAATATTCTAAAAACTGATCACATATTATTTGATTCTTTTATATCCATGCAAAAAGCAATTATGACATACAAATCGAGATGGAAGGCAATAAATTCTTGAAAATTGTAGCTTGGTGCACTTATTATTAACATGTTGTCTTGCATCTTCGTCAATGAATAGATTAGATGGGATTGTGACAAAGTTCTTGTTTTATTGCATACTATTACACTGGTTGACTTCTCCTTTCATTTTATTAATTCTATAATGGGTGTGGGCATAATGATATATAGGAATTGGCGATTACATCTGATGAGGCCTTGAGCTTAGAAGATCTACCAAGACGGGTCGTGATACTTGGGGGAGGGTATCTGTATCTTAACCCATTTTACATAATTTTACCAAGTTTCTTTTGATTGTATTTGACATATATTTCTTTTGGCTCAAGGTACATTGCTGTTGAGTTTGCCTCTATATGGCGTGGAATGGGTGCCACAGTAGATCTATGTTTCCGCAAGGAACTTCCTTTGAGGTAAAGAAGAATTTTTTATAACTAAACTTTAGCTTCTGTTTTGTATACTATGTTAATGGATTTCAATCTCTTTCCTAAAGGATAACTGCACACTCTGTTAGATATACTCTAGAATAGACTACTAGAATAGTCTTGTAATAAACTGTATTAGTTAGAGTCTCGGTTAGAGTCTGTTAGTTTGTTATGACCTAACCGACTCTATATATACTTTGTAAAGCTGCTCTCAATCATTAAGCAATAATAATCTTCTTCATCTCTTTCCTCTCTGTATACTTTCTATTATGGTATCAGAGCTTTAGCTCGATCCATGGCGATCTCCAATGATACTTCCAATTCCTCTTCAGGTACCAGAAACTCTGGTAATTCCAGTTCTCCGGTGACTTTCGCACATCCTCTTCTGATCAAACTCGACACAAATAATTTCCTCTTCTGGAAACATCACCTTGAATCCGTTGTTCGAGCGCATAAACTACTTCGATTCATCGTGAAACCAGAAATTCCAAAACAATTCAACTCTGTTGACGACGAGGCAAGCGGAAACGTTAATGAAGCGTATATTATCTGGGAACAACAGGATCAGATGCTGTTCTCTTGGTTGCTTGTTTTGCTTTCCGAATCCCTCCATGCTCGATTAATTCACAGCAGCTTGCGCTGTGGAAGGGGAGAAGAGGGAGTTGATGTATGTGAAATCGCGACCGGGGAATGAATGAGCTATCGAGAGGGAGACGAGGGAGGGCTACTACGGTAAGAGAAAGTCTAGAATCAAAGGAGTGAATACTAATGCTACTTGAGTTAACGTTGCAATTCAGCCTATTTATTTCAGCTCAAGCTCTCTTTAGCCCTTCTAACAAACAGGACTATTCTAATTAAAATTGACTTAATTTAAAAAAAATCAGCCATTTTTGAGCTGAACTGGCATGCAAAACATAGCCTTTATCCTTTCCCACACTTGGTGTTTATATTGAGGGCTTGCAATGGGTTGTTATCTTGAATATGTTTCACTTTCATAGAATATGATATTCTATAGAACCTAATATTCTAATATGTGGAGTTCTGGACCAATCTATGGGGCTTGAGTAACCACTGACCACCTGCCATTTTGAGCACTCACCTCAGGGCTTCAGACCGGTACATATTTCTCTTTCTATGTCATTCTTTGTTTTAAGACCAGTGTTTCTGTGGTCTTTGGCTGCATTTAAGGTTTCTTTTATTATTGTTTTCGAATTCATGAGTGATCTGTATCCAGACCTTTAGAAGAACATCCAAAAGGGATATTTCTTTGCGGATGTTACAGTTTTCTATTAACATTGTTTTCTCTCTTCTTTCTTTGAGTATTGTATATTTGTATAAATATAAAAGGCTGCATACTTTAATTTCCCTATAAACAAGACACTGTATTTGAGACTTTGAGTATTTAACTTTACTGACATGTGTACTGGATCTATTTAACTTTACTGACATGTGTATGGTTCATCTCTGGCTTTACAGATGCAGCATGAGTTCACTAGCGCTAATCTTTTTAGAAATTTTGTATTCTACTCTAACATGAGATCACTAACCCTATTTTTTTTGGAAATTTGATATTCTATTTGCTATTTTTCCACACCCAATAGTTTTTTATACTTTAAGGGGCACATTTGCAACTTCCATAAGAGATTGAATGCTTCGGACTCGTATACTCCATTTGACTCTGATGCTCTTGGATTAAAATGCCAATCTTTTCAATAGTTAACCAATATCCCGAGCACTCAGACTACTATCAACAATGCTCTCCTGCTACCTTTTCCTTCTTGTCACCCTGCAGTGTTTCGTTACTGCTCCTTCAAAAGAGTCAGGCCCAGGTCATATATGACTCATCTGTGCTGAAATGTGTGATATGAAGCTGTCTGGTCCGCAAACTAGAATCCTTCTTCATTATTCGGAAATATTTCTTGGATTCTAAATTAGTTTTTTTTTAAATTAGAGATCCACTTTTTTAGAGTGAAAAATGGTCTTGTAATTTCACAAGTAATAAATTTGCATGAAATATATCTATTGTTATCTTAATTTCATAAGCTGTGACATGGAATTTTTCTGCAGAGGTTTTGATGATGAAATGCGAGCTGTAGTTGCAAGGAATTTAGAAGGAAGGGGAGTCAATTTGCATCCTTGCACAACCTTGACTGAGGTACTGTAGTTCTGGTCCAATGAAAGGTTGCAAAGTGTTACAATATTCTTGTTAGAAGAGAGACAGTATTGATTTATTTGAATATTTAGATCATCAGTACACACCATTGATTGAAGCACTTACAGATCCATTGGCTAAGGTTTTGGGCATAATCTAGTAAACTACACAACGATAGAATAATTAATGTATGAGTGCTTCCATCTGAGTAGAAAATAGGAATCCCCAATATCTAATTGTTCATAGCTTTCCTATTAACTATTGTTGTCTCATCACTGCATTCATGCTCTACTACTGAATTGAAATGATGGCTTGATTACTCAGCTAGTGAAAACAGAAGATGGTATCAGAGTACATACGGACCATGGTGAATCTTTGCTGGCAGATGCTGTACTGTTTGCCACAGGTAATTCCAGCCACATTTTTTTTATTTCTATACTCTTAATAGAAATAAATTTCTGGGGATTTATTTGAGTCATGGAGGTCAGCATTTATTTTTTTATATAACTAAAATCAGTACCCTTTTTTCGGATTCTAATTGGGTTTTGGGACATGCTTCATTCTTAACATCTGATATGGCTGTACTAGCTTGTTGGTGATATGTGAGAATCCTTCAATAGTTGTATTTTCCATATTTAAATTTCCAAGCTCATAATACTAAGAAGCAGTCCTTCATTGGAATCATAAATAATTGTGTCATTGCTTAAAAACTTCCATTGGCCTATTGGGTCAAGTTTCCTTTGGGCACCAGTTAAGGTGTTGCTTTGTGACCGGCAGGTCACGGGTTCAAATCTTGGAAACGGCCTCTGTAACAAAATGACAAGGGAGGCTTGCCTCTTATACGCCCTTGTGGCGGGACCCTTCTCCGGACCTCGCCTTGCGGGGACGCCAGTGGGCACTGGACTGCCCTTTTTATTATTTATTTATTTATTCATCCTTTGCAATGGAGCCAAAGATTCATTATTTTTTGGCTTGAGATTATGATGGAATAAAGCAAAATGGCTCACTAAACTGTTTGCGCTTCTTTGTCATGAAGCAACAGTCAGTTCATGCAATTTTGGACGGGATTTTTACTATGGGTCATCCGGAAACAGTCTCTCTGTGCTTTAGTACAGGGGTAAGACTGCGTACATCCGACCCCCCCTTACCCCACCGTAGGTGGGAGCCTTTGCGGCACTGGGGTAAATGAAAATGAAATGATTTATTTATTCATCCTTCCGTCCGTCCATCCACCGATCTATTTATTTATCCATCCATCCACCCACCCACCCATCCACCGTCCACTCTTTCTTTGTTCTTGGGCTGAGATATGCATTTCAAATTCTTGTATTTCATAGGCCCATAGCTTGGCAACTTAATACTTCCAATTGCAGGGCGTGTACCTAATTCAAAAAGGCTGAATTTGGAAGCTGTGGGTGTTGAGCTTGATAAGACTGGAGCCATAAAGGTAATTATTCTCTATCCCGGCTTTGGTATTGTTCCCTTGCAATTTTACATTAGTTTTCTTTGTTCTTTTCTAAAAGGGAATTAATATGTTGATAACAAAAGTTGTAGTTTGATAGTCTCATAGAACCAATGGAGGATGTTTCTTGTTCAAGGATATTCATGTGAAGACCCAAAATTTGGAAAACAAATGCAAAGATACATGTATAGCCGTATAGGATTGATATAATAATTTATATATTGTACTTTTTATGTTATATTTTTTACTTTTAAGCCTATTTGCTAGTTTTTTGTTGTTGAAAAATTATACTTGTTTAATTGTTGGATCAAACAATATAATTATGCAACATTTTAATGGTAAGGTAATTTTGAACACCCAACATTTGCTTGCGTGATCCGCCTCTGCATAGAACCTTGAAGTGAAACATCTTGAGACATCTAAATCTTTCTAATGAGCTGCCCTATTTGATTCTGAATTGTAATTTACATTTATTTCCAGGTTGATGAGTTTTCTCGAACTAACATACCCAGCATATGGGCTATTGGTGATGTCACTAACCGGCTGAATCTTACTCCTGTTGCTTTAATGGAAGGGACCTGCTTTGCGGTATTTCTTTGCTTAGACATTGATTTGAATTTATTTTCTTGGAAATTGATTTGTATCATTATAGATATTGCTATACAATGTACATTCTCTTAAGTCTCAATTACCATTTTCTAAGAGGAATTGATTTGTTGATAGAATCAGCTTTCGTCTTACCTGCAGAAAACTGCTTTTGGTGGAGTACCCACGAAACCTGACTATACAAATATTCCTTGTGCTGTATTCTGGTATTTACTTTTCTTACAACATTCTTACATATATCCTCATAAAACTGTTTTCCACTTCAAGATTATAAATCATCTGCTTTTATAAACACTTATATAATAATCAAAGGTTCTAATTTGTATTGGGCTATTGTCAAATGTTGGAGAACGTCAGAGAAAGTTTTTTGTTCAGGGACAGATTTAGGAAATATAGCTAAAAACCTTCAGAACCAGCATGGCGCTTTCTATTTTTGGCTATTTTAATTGTATATGCCATGTAAAACGTATCCTTAACACAAACTAACACTAAGCAGATGCTACAAACTTTACAAGAGTTGTCATACGTAGTATTATATTTTTAGTGCTAGATTGCTTGATTCTTTTGAGTTCAGCCATCTTGCTTGCCTGCTAATCTTGCTATCCATTCTCAGGCATTTTACTTGTATTCCATTGGTCCTAGGACTATGGAATGCAGAAAATGGTAGTGTAAGGAAAAAATGCCAATGAGATATGTTTTTTTAATGTTTAGTTTTACAATGGAAAATGTGAAGGTTTAGTTACGACATATTCCCTCCGTCCCAAAAATATGAACATTTTCTTAAATTGGATTCCACTAACTTTTTGCTTTCCCACTTTAACCCTTTATGTATCATTTCACTCTTTACTTTTGTGGATCTATTATTCTCTTTCTTACTTTTTGGACGTTAGAATTGTAAAACAACCACTTTATTGTTTATTTTTTAAAACCCGCACCCAAACTCATATGCATCTTACATTATGAGATGGACTGATGGAGGTAGTATTAATTACTATTTTAAATGGTTTACCGTGCTAGGAAGCACGGAAACGGCATTCCTCATCCAGTTTCCGTCCCGGAAACGTTTCGGAAACAGGAAACTGGACGGCTGGGAATTTTTGTTAGCTTCGTATTTAATCTTTTCCATAAATTGAGTGCTTCCATAAATTGAGTGCTTCTTATTGTTTTGTGGAATTATAACAAAGAAATATGTTTGTTATATTTATTTCGTATTTATTGAACGTAAATATTACCTATATTACTAAAATTTAAATTTTTAGTTCGACGTTTCCTTGCCGTACCCGTATCTTGATATTTTGAGATTGGAGTTTCCCCATCCCGTTTCCGTTTCCGTTTCTGTCTCGGTGCTACTTAGTTACTGTGTACATATAGTTATACTCCCAAGTGTTTATATAATACAAACAACAAGAACATCCAAGCCTTATTCCCAAAAGATTTTGGAGTCTGCTCACATGAATCAATACATGATATCAGAGCTAAAAGGAAAAGAAAAATTAGAAAGATAATTAGATAAGGTAAGATAGAAAAGATAAAAAGGATAAGATAGATAAAAACGATAAGATAAAAAGGATAAAAAGAATATATATAAAATAGAAAGGACAGAAGGATAACGAACAGAAGAAAAATAAAAAAGATGAAACAAGATCAATTCTCTACACGAATATTCGCCCTCCACTTTGCTCTCTCCAAAGGCATACTCCCATCCAACCCAAGAAGAAGCATTTCACTTCCGTCTTCTTTCGTCCAAGTCATTTTGGATCTTCCTCTCCCTCTCCTCCCCACCTCTCAACTCAGGTAACAGGTGCGTCACTCAATCTTCTACACACATGACAAAACCACTGCAATCGAGACTCCCATTTTGAACTAGATCTAAAATTTACTGAAGTCATTCACATGTGTAATCAAATAATACCATTTCCTGCAAATATATTTCCCCTGCTGTGAACAATAGTTTGGTCAATATTTCTGCGGCAAAGTAATATGTTATACTCCGTATTTGTTTGGATTGTCTATGAATGATTAAACCCCATTTTTCACAATGAATGATTGCATGCCATTTGGTTTTGCTCCACAGCATACCCCCACTTTCAGTAGTGGGGTTAAGTGAAGAGGAAGCTATAGAGAAAGCAAATGGAGATACTGCAGTGTACACTTCAACATTCAACCCCATGAAGAACACTATCTCTGGGTATGTCTTGAGCTCTTGATGATTTGAACAGTTTTTATAAGCCTTTAATTAAACTGGTTTATCTAGTGCATGACCTACTTTTGTAATGGCTTTTGCGCATGTCAAATGGACTTTGAGTGAGCCTTTTGACTCAAAAAAGTCGTGGCATTGCTATTTGTAGATGATTGGGAATGTTCCCAAAAGTGGATGCCACTTTTTCGTGAACTATAATTTATTAATTTACATATTGTTGTTCACTGTCCCTCCACAGCTCACTTCCCTAGTTCCGTGTAACATTTCATTGTGATTGAACATATCAATTCTATCATCCTTCATTTATAAACTCAAACCCCTTATTTAAAAACATTTATTAACATCTCTCGATTTATGAACCACACACATTTTCTATTTTTACGTGGTGCGTGTTTAGAGACGATATTATATTGATTGATGAGACACATATGGTGTTAAAGCAAAGTTGGAAGTATGACGACAAACTTTGGAGAACAAGGGTTTCAAATTGAGTCAAAACAAGACAAAAAATATGTAGTGCACGTTTGGTGGAGGAAGAAGCAGAAGTAAGATTACCCTAGATGTTAAGGAAATACCAATCAATGATATATGTTCTGTTACTTGGTTCCATAGTTCAGAAGGACGGTGAACTAGTTGAAGATGTGTCCCATATAATCAGAACGAGGTGGATGAAATGGAAGAGTGCGTTAGAATTTCTTTGTGATCAAGTTATGCTGACTAGGCGACTAGACCGAAAGACAAATTTTATCGATCAACAATTAGGCCTGCATTACTTTGTGGCGTAGAGTTGTGGTGGTGAAACAACGCCCCATTCAGAGATGGGTGTGACTGGTATGTGCACGTTGTGATGGATGTGTGGACATATTAGAAACAACCGCATGAGGGACAAGACAATACAAAAAGGTGGGCGTAGTACCTATTGAAGATAAGATGCAAAAATCTCGATTGCGGTGGTTTGGTCATGTGCGTAGAAGCATTGGTGATGCACGTGTTAGACGAGTTTAGAGATAGGCAGAAGAGGCGGGGAAGAGACAGGAGTCAAATAGGCGCGAATTAGAGGAGTAAAGAGTGATGTGCTTCATCTTGGGTTGGATGAGAGAATATTCGTGCGGAGGATTGATTTTTTCATCTTTTTATCCTTTTATCTTTTTATCTTGAATATCTTCTTTATCTTTCTTATGTTCTTTATCTGTTTATCTTTTTATCTCGTATTTTTTTATCTTTTACATCTTATTTTTTAATCTTTATCTTTATCTTATCTTTATTTTTTTCTAATTTTTCTTCTAATCTTATCATATCTTTTAATCTTTCTTATTTTTATTCTTTCTTATCTTTTTAATTCCAATGTCATGTTAGCCGACCCAAACTCTTGAAATTAAGGCTTGAATTGGCAAACTTTGGAAGGAAGGGAAGGAAAATGAATGAGCATGGAGGTCAGTCCTAAACGCTCTTCATCTCTTTCTATGGGGTTTTGTTTTTTGTTTTGTTTCAACAGTTTAACAAAAATCTTCTACAATTTCTATTTATATCAGAGGACTTTGGAAGGAAGGGGCAGAAACTGAATGAGTGTGGAGTGGCATGTGTTTGGTTACAGGAGTTAAGGGTAAATGGGGAGGAAAGTGAAGGAGCTGGAGGTTGGTCCTACAAGCTCCTCATCTCTTAAGGGGTTCTGTCTTTGTTCAGTTTCTTTTTCACTTGTTTAACCAAAATGGTTCTACATTATTAATTTATGGTTCATATAAACTTGTTGATTACTATATTTTTTAATATTTTATTCCAACTGAATTTATATCAAATACTCCGTATCTTTTTTACATATATTCCATTAAATACTCACTCATCTCTCTTACATGGAACAAAACACAATTTTTTTGTAACTTTCATTTTTCATCTCGTCCCTGTTGTCATTTCTCCTCCCCCTTATTTGAAACAAAAAGAGGTTAACGGCTTGATGGTGCCAAAGGAAATAGTTCGACTCCTTGGGTGGATTGGATGATGCACCTGAGGGAATTCTGACTATCTATCGAAGTAGTCAATCTAAAAGAATTCTGACTGAGGGAATTCTCACTGTCTATAGAAGTAGTCCCTCTTTAATTGTAGTCAATCTATATTTTGTACTGAAAACTTCATGTACATAAGTGACTAAGTTGATATATTTAAGCCTTTGAGCTTACATCACCCCATGTAATTGTCTGGAGATTCACAATAACTACATCTACATCTTTAAACCATTCCCCTTGTGTTTTAAAGTTCATGAAACTTTGAAAGAATTCATGAAACTTTTAGAAGTTTAAATACATTTTTAGTCCCTGCAAATTGCACATCTTGTTTTAGATCCCTGCAATGTTTTTTTTTGTTTTTCATCCGTGTAATATGCACTATTTTTATTTTAGTCCCTCTTTAATTCAGAGACCTATTCTGTATTTTAGAAAAAGATTACTGTCGGTTGAAGTGTTGAACAACTCGACTAAAACTTTTAATTTCACCTCTTTATAACTTCTTAGATGCTAATATTAAAGTCAAAACAATATAAAATTAATCTTTCACATCTTCAAAGTAGGTTTTAACGAGTCTCTGGAGAATAAAATTACGTATTTTTTGAATGACATGATAAAGAATGATATGAAATCTTTTTTTAGAGAGGCGCAAAACAAGAAGTAATATATTTGCAGAGACTAAAAACATATTAAGATGGCTATTGTCTTGTCATTTTACTTGCATGAAGTGATATTTCATGAACTAATAGCAAAAACAATTGGTTGTATGTTTCTATTGTGACATGTTGCATTTCATATCATTTAGGCGGCAAGAGAAGTCAGTTATGAAGCTTCTGGTTGACACACAGACTGATAAAGTTATAGGAGCATCAATGTGTGGTCCTGATGCCGCTGAAATTATGCAGGTAATCACCGTCCCATTTATGCTGCATTTGTTTGGCTTGATTCCAAGGTTATCATAACCGGACTGGTCATCGAACCGGTTGATTGCATGGGGATCATTGGTTAGACAGGTTTTGATAGCATTGTTTGATTCCGTGAATCATGATTTTGGTGCATTGTGGCAATTACTCTGTCATTTGAAAAACTGAGTACATTATTTGGTAATGTTTCCCGTTTTATGTTTTCAAATACGTAGTACTCCGTATTTGTTTTTTTCTCATGGTTTGTTTTCAAATTTCTATAATGTAAAACATGTTTGGTAAGTATGGTTTGTATACACAATATTTACTACATAGTATAAACTAACACGATTCTGTTGAACTTTCTAAATGTTTTATAACTTTTATTGTGTCAAAACTGAGAATCTGTTACCGAAAGTAAGGAATACAAGAAATTCATGCTTCCAATAATTTCCAGAACTCTGTTTTTGTTTTTAAGAATCAGAAAATAAATCCATTAAGGTGAAAGATGTTTTGTGCGCGTTTTTTGTTTGATAGGGGGTACGTAATGATTGAAGACTAATTATGTTGCTGTGTATTATGACTACAGGGAATTGCTGTTGCAGTAAAGTGTGGAGCAACTAAGGCAGATTTTGATTCCACGGTGAGTTTGGATATCTCTGCTTGTTTCTCTTCCTGTATGGCTCGTTAATAATATTGCATTTAGTAAATATGATAAAATATAAGGGCTTCTACACATCTTTCATTAAATGTCTACATTTTCCAGTGTAATACACTGATAGTTCACTAAGTTAAATAATCAATGAAAGCAGTAGTACTACAATATGCATTTTGAAATGAAGAACACTATCTAAAAATAAGCATGGAATTAGCTGAGTTAATTAAATAGATATAAGTCTCACTAAAACAGGAAGGGAAGCCTTGGCGCACCGGTTACGGTGTTACCATGTGACTAAGAGGTCACGGGTTCAAGTCACGGGTTACGTCAATGTGCATCTGGTTGCCCTCCCTCCAACTCTCACTAAAATAGCCTTTCTCTCAACGAATCTAGCTGTTTAGGATGTTACGTTTTTCATCCCTTTGACAGGTGGGCATACACCCTTCCGCCGCAGAAGAGTTCGTGACAATGCGGTCTGCAACAAGGCTTGTTCCTCCGGCTACCAAACCAAAGACAAACCTATGATGGTAAAAAGAGAAACATGATTCATCATAAGCGCTTCATTTTTTTATAATGCATGTGGGAAAACTGATTCATGATTTGCTCAAAATATTATTTATATGCTTTACTAAGAACTAAAAGCCAATATTTGAATTTATTTATGATCATGGCTGTATAATTGATAGAATAAGTTGATAGAAGCTACAGTTATTAAATTGTGTTCTGTTACGTTCCACGGTTTGCATGATTGATGATATAAGACGATGATCAATTATAGTAGTATTACGTAACATATAAGATGTGGAATAAAGTGCATTGGTTGTTTAGTTTGTGGTCTTCATTTCTTCCGTTTCATAACGTGAGCTCGCGTTCATGTATTTAAAGATTGGCTCAATCCGTTGTAGAATACCACCATGCCATGATGGTGATAATAATAGTATAGAATAGTAGTAACAATATTATTAACGTTAATACTAACCATACAATTATCATTCAGGCTATCATCAATATACAAAAAATGATAAATTGTACTGAGTAACTTCGAAGTTCGAATACCATAAAACAACAAAACAGACATTACTTGGGAAAATAAATCACTTTCTGCTTAAGTTTATGTTTCTCCTTCATAAATCAAGCCGGACACCTGGACACCCGTTTGTAGTTGTAGACAGTAGACACATGCTGCTGAGTTATGTGTTTTCTATGTAATGAGACTACCAGACTTGGTTTGGTTCCTTGGGGAAAACACGGGAGCTGGGATTAGGGACTCTATTTTTTGTTCTAGGTGTGTTTTGGTCCATTGGCTAGTCTGATCTCGGTTTAAAAATATTTTTGAACCCTTTCCACCCCTCCTAACCCCTTTACAGCTTTGAATTGAGTTTACTCATTTACACATCTTTTAAAATGCTTCCAATGCATAACAATTGAAAAATGAGTCGAGTCGGGACCGGACTAGTCTGTCTTAGTCCCCACTCCCCAAAATGGCAGCCCGAGAACGGTCCCTTGGGCTAGTCTTAACTCCTAACCAAATCATTACCACCGGTCCCGATCTGTTCCCAAGAACTGCTAGCTCTTAGTTTGGATCGATCCTAGGACATGAACTGTGTCCTTACCTTGTGAGATTACACATGAGTCTTATTTAGAGCCTGGGGACTTGGGATGAACACGGGCTGAATCTAGTCTAGTTCCAGAGCAGTCAGATTTAACTATTTAAGTTCCAAATGACCCTTGCTCGAAAGCCGAAATCGGAAATTTATTTCGGTCGCAGTGTGGTAATATACAACTGCAAATACCCTATTCAATAAAAACTAATAAAATTTGGAAACGGTCTAGTGCTATCTTAGAGGAATTAACCAAATCAAAGTACAGGGGAGGAATGGTTTTCTTCTTACGAGCAATAGAGAGAGGGAGGAAAAGGATCACCCTTGGCAATGCTTAGTATTTTAGGGTGAAAAATTGCATGCATTTATTCCTTCAATTCACAATTGTGTCAATATATAGACCTGACTTTACAATCAATTTCTTATTCCATGTAAATCGATCAGAATAACAATTGCAACAAATCAATAAATTATTTAATATCAATGTTTCTTTCTATTATTGTAGTCTGCTACTTCATTAATTGCGTGCTGCTTTCCTTTGATATCTTATGTTACAAAAGAAATCTGTAACAATTTGATTCTGTCTAGTCTGGTTGCTAAACAGGGTCTACCCTATACAAGGTATAACGATTAGAATATATGTGTTGCTGGAGGGGGATATGAACCAAGAAACTTCAATTCCTCCTCTTTGAGGGGTTTGATGCCTAATCATCATTCAACTTCCATTACTTCATTCCGAACAACCATACCATAATAACAGAAAATCACTAGAAGTACCATACTATAAAGTTTGGGAAAAATTGAAGCAAAATGATCGCATTCTGTTTTTGTAAGCAGGGGGTTTAGCATTGTAGCCTACTCATACAAAACAAGGGTAGGTTGCAACCTCAATAAAGTCAATGTAAAAAATAAGTTGTTGAAAAAAACTGTTTTGCATAGACTTTTTTGTACACACGTCCGTGAAGTGTGAACAATAGAGGCGGATCTAGGGAGGGGGAAACCTAGGCCCGATTCACTCGAAATTTAAAAAATAACTAAATTTTTATGTAAAAAGTCCGATGTAATCCCCCCCCCCCCCCAAAAAAAAACGTTCTTTGTACTGTGCCAGTCCGACCCAGTGTCTTGGCTCCGCCTCCGGTGAATTGAGCTATTTAGGGACCAGTGTTCCTTCTCTAGTTCTCTTTTCCTTTTCACTACTTTTTAGTTTTTCTGTGACATTTGTAATTTTAATTAACCAATATCTGGAAGGGAAACAACTCAACAAGTGCATATTTTAATCAAGAAAAAACTAAAAACTGGTTGGTTAACTTATGCCCCTACTCCTTCCCCAAGGCGGACACAAAACAAAGTTGCCCTGTGAATGGATAATGAAAACCAGATGCATTCTTTACTGTTTGGAGGGACTCTTTTAACATTTTCTAGTTCAGAATGTGCTCTATCCTTCATTCCTTCCCAATGAAAAGCTATATAATGATATGGCCCACAAAGATTTTTCACGTCCAATAGTTCTGGTCAAAGACTGTATATATACATAGAGTCCTCTTTTTTTGTTTAATAAAAAAAGTGTCATCATTTTACGCACCCTACTAAATTCCGCTAATAATGTCTGTATAGTGTCAAGTTGTTTTAATCGTATTAAACAATCACGAAACAGTAATATTTATCATCAGTTATTCAAGTAAAATAAAAAAATTCCAAAAAATCATTTTTCTTGATTGCATTATATTTAAATAAGGAATTTATTCATCCGATGGAGGTAGCCCAACTTGTATAGAAGTACACTATTGGTCAAATACTCAAATGTAGTACTCCGTATAAACTTATAGGATAGAAGCAATTGAATAGAGATATTACCCGAAATTACGAAATATGACTAAAACAGATTTGAAAATTCCAAAATAGGACCGCCATGTTTTTATTACCAAGATAAGACTAATTACTTCCATGTTTTGGCAGTACCAGACTTCAAACATGACAGTATTTTCTAAACATGACAGTAATTAGTCTTATTTTGGGAATAAAAAATAGTCTTATTTTGGGAATAAAAAATAGTCTTATTTTGGAATTTTGAAACGGTTGTATTCCCACAGTTTCTTGTTTGTCCATTTCTTTAAATTTGGGAAAATTCTTTATTACTTAATTATCTTCCTATTAAATTTTAACAGCTTCCATTTATTATATTCTTTCACAATATTCTTTTACCTTATTTCCTATTCTTCTCATTTATCTACACTATTCAAGCTTACCATTTTTTTAAAATTCCATGATAAATCCATTGAGGCGCGCACATGCATAAAAAACTGAAGGGAGTGTTATATTACAATGTTTTGTTATTTGAAACTAACAATTGATTTTATTGTCATCCAATTTCATATTTCAATCTAACTTATAAGAGAGAAATATTACGAAACAAAATAAAATTATAAATGAATTGCCCTTAAAAGGAGTAAAATATGAGCTAAGCTTATTAATAAGACTAATTACTCCCTCAGTCCCAAATTGTAAGATACATTTACTATTCACTTGGTCAACATAAATTACTCTTAAATTTTTACTTTATATATCAAAAGTTTATGAAATTTGAATTACTTTTTGTAGGTTTTGTAGCGGTTTTAATATGTAGATTTTATTTTCTAAAACTAATTTGAGTGTTGACAGGGATCAATTTACTTTATCGTCGGTCAAACATCGTAAACTGTAAAGTATCTTACAAATTGGGACGGATGGAGTATAATTTATTCGGGAAACAAAACTTATGAATATTATTACTTTTTTAAATATAAAACAATGTAATATTCCTGAAACAAAACTTATTTAATCTTACTAAAAACTAAAAAAGCGCGTTGAACATCGTTTCAGAAGTGTGTTTAATTTTAGGAAAAGTAATATTGTTATATTTGGGATACTAATATAAGTTTTTTCCATATCTATGATTTTGTCTAAAACTATTCGTTGGGTTACATTGTGGCTAGGAGTGAGCGCCGGTTCAAGATCAGACCGGATCAGAACCGGTTGGACCGAAACCAAAATTCTTAAAAAAAAATTGGACAGAAGACCGGACCTATATAATTTTGGTCCAGATCGGACCGGATCGGATTATTCCGAGTTTATCCGGTCCGGATCGGTATTGGATCGTATTTGGATTTGTAGTTATTTAAGTAAAAAAATAAGTTTGATGGCTATTAACTTATTTAAACATCAACTTTTTTCTTGAATAAATATTCAAATAAAATCAAATCTAATTAGTTATAAATATTTGTTACATACTACTCCGTAGTACAATTTGGAAATATAATATACTCCGTACTACGGAGTACCTATTTAAAAAACAATAATTAACTAATTACGGTCCAACCAGTCTGGGCCTAAATATTCTGGATTTAGACCAAGCCAAATCAGAAACTTTGAAAACCTTGGACCGAAGACCGGTATGTAATCGGTTCAGGTCCGGTCTGGACCAACCGGTCTGGTTTGATCCGATTTTATGGTGTGGACCGGATCATGCTCACCTCTTCTTGTAGCAAAATCAGAGGGTTGGATTTAGCTCCGGTCCCTTCCACTTCGTACACAATTATTCATGCATGGACAATAAATATATAGATTCATAAATCTCACAAGAAAATATAAATAGAACTATACTTCTTTCATGGCAAAACTATCACCAGAAACACATAAAGCTTTTCTGCTCTTTATGCTCTGTGGTTTAGCAGTAGTGCTCTCCGGTAACCATTAACCAAGATGGCACCGCCGCACACGACAGCCGCACCACCATCAGCACGGGAAATGTATTATTGAGTGCTCCTGCAGGCTGGGATTTTGGAGTGTCTGTTCATGAGGTTCCAAGCGGGTCGAAAGCGGAGCAAAACAAGTAAATCTTGTCATCCAGTGTAGCTGAGTAATTAATGATTAAATCAATCTATGTAATCATACATATAAGTTCATTTTTCTTTCATCCACTCAATTTTATCAAGTTGATAATGTTGATTCTGAAAGTACAATAGTAAAAACCGTGTGTTGAAGGTTGTGTGGATGAAAGAAAAATGAACACAATCACAAACTTTTTAATAATTTAGGACAAACAAAAAGGAAAACTGTCAAAGTCCGGTGGAACGGAGGAAGTATAATAATTAAGTTCTACTCACTTTAATTGTCATAATATGTATTATCTCTGTCCCACTCAACTTTTGTCAATTTTATATTAGGCATGAAATTAATTAGAAAAGTAA